CTCAGGAACAACAGGATCAAACCGTTCCCAGATAACTGGGCAAGAACGATCCCCTGGTTATCTCCCCAGACCCTGTGCCGGGGGCAAACCAATCGCATGGGTCCTGCCTCCCTGCGGAGGGGGTTGGCATAGGAGAAACTCAGGGTCACCAGGACGTTGCTGAGAAGGTGTTTGGGCTTCAGTTCCAGAGGAACTGGAGGAGATGGATTATCTGGATACATTTCAGTCAGGTTTCAGGCCAGGTCACTGTATAGTCACATTTGTTGATTACTTCTGCTGGAGCTGGGATGGGGATAGTGCATCCATCCCTGTGGTCCTTGATCTTTCCACAACTTTTGATACTGTCCATCACAGTATCCTTCTGGACTGAAAGTGAAGTTTGGGAGTGGGGAACGTCAAGTTCTCCTCCTTTCTTAGTTGCCAGTTTCAGTTGGTGTTAATGTGGGGGAGATTGAGTCCAAGGCCCCTCACTTGTTGGGTGCCACAGGGCTTGATGCTCTTATCATTTCTGTTCTAACATCTACATAAAACCACTAGGTGAGATCACCCATCAGTTTTGGATCAGGTATCATCAGTACGCTGATGATACCCAATTATACATTTCAGTCCCAGGCCAATCTAGTAATACTGGCAAGGTCCTGTCCCAGTGTCTGGAGGCTGTTCAGGTCTAGATAGATAGACCCAATCCTAACAACAATGAGTGGCTGTGAATGTTTGGGTCTCCTGGTTCTTGGGATCTTCCATCTTTGGACTTGGGTGGGGTTGTACTTCCCCATTGAAGACTGGTGCTCAATTTGGCTCAAAGGTGGCAGCTGTGGCCAAGAAGGCCTTTGCACAGGTATATATTGTGCGCCAGTAGCATCCCTTCCTGGACTAGGAATTCCTTCAGACAGGGCCTTAGTCACTTCCCAAATGTATTACAGTAACGCACTGTCCATGGGGCTGCCCTTGAAGATCATTCAGAAGCTAAACCTGGTCCAGAATTTGCATGCAGAATTTGGGTGCACCTCAGGGTTTGGTTATAAAGCCCTTCATAGCATACATCCTCTTTATTTGAAGGATCATCTGACTCCAATTGTTTCTGCCCATCCAGTGAGCTTCAGGTCCCATTGATCAAACAGTGTCATTGTCCAAGATCCAGGAAGCATGCCTTCTCCGTTCTAGCACCTGTGGTCTGGAATGACATTCCCCCCCCCCAAAGATCTGTATTGCTGTCACCCTGATGATGTTCAGGAAGCTAGTAAAGATCTGACTATTCTCCCAGGCTTTGGGTTAGAATGAAGATTGAGCCCCTGCTGGATGGGTTTTTTTTGATATGTTGTGTTTGGGCCACTCATGATTTCTTTTTTGAATTTGTAATTTTTTTTTTTTACATTTTAATTGTGAGCTTCATTGGGAATCAGGCAGCCTATGAACTATATAAATAAATCATGCCAAAATATGCTATAATTACATAAAAAGAATTTTAAGCTTACTTCTGATGTGTTACATGAAATCAAGTTTTAATAAAAACATCATCATTGTTATTATCCTGAGATCCAACATTATGGTTATCTAGTTTACTAGAACTCATCTAGGCAGAATCAGTTTTCAAAATACTGACTTTCTTTTATGAACAGTTTGCTTCCTATTCATTCATTCATTCATTCATTCATTCATTCATTCATTCATTCATTCATAATTAAATTATCTTAAAATTTTAATTTTAGGTGGGGGCAAGGACTAATGCATGCTAAAGGAGATCTTTAGGACACATTAGTGTCCACAGTATAAATTGTCTCTTCATGCCTCCTCCTTACTTATCTTCCATTAACTCATCTCAGCCATCTTGCTAGAAAAATGTATCCGAAACTGAGAAATGCAGCAGTCCTACCTAATAAGAAAGGATAACTAGATGCAGGAGCGGACAAGCTTTGAGGAAGTCAGAACAACTTAGTGGCATCAGGTAACTTGGCCAAGGCTTACTGCGAAGGTGAACAGAAGGCAGAAGGAAAGCGTTATTCTTTTTGCAAATTCTAGGAAGGGAAAGAGCTGCTTTGGCTTGCACATCCACCACTTTTTTAAGCAGCAGGATCTTCTTGGGATCATGTGACTGTCCTCCTCAGCTGCTATGTGGTTCAGTAAAAGGATGTGTTCACATATTTGTTTAAAATTTGCAGACAGTTGGTACATCTATGTCCCTGCATATTCCAAAGCACCTTTTTGTCTTCAGATCCAATCTACCATTATAGCCCTTGTTTAATTAAGAGAGGTGATATATGTTTTTCATCGAATGTCACTAGAAACAGTAAAATAATCCAATTCCAGAAACAGAAATAGTAATATATACACAGTTTCCACAGCTCAGAACCTACTATTTAACAGATGTGCTGATACCATCCAATGCATGCACTGAGATCAACTTGGGAGGCTGTGCTTGTAAGCCCACTGTGTGGTGGACACAGTGTGGTAATGGCACCCCAGGTATGGCACTCTCTTTAAGGCTGTTATTCTGCTTTTCTGTTGTTGTTTTTTAAATCAACAATTTTATATTTATTGTTTTTAATGGGGGGGATATAAACTAATGTTAGGCTTCAGTAAAAAAAAATCTGAAATTAAAAATGTTCATGTTTTTTAATTTTGGCTGGCAAAACAGAGTGGGAACTGAGAGTTCTTAGGAATATTTCAATTTTTCTCTGAAAGTGTGGACTCTTAAGCACTGAAGCATGTACCTTTCTATTATACATTTTATTTAGGCAGCATGTCTAACAAAAAAGGTAGGGCAAAAATAATAAACGTTGCTTGATTTTCTGTGCATTTAGAAATCCAGAGTCACTGCATGGTATTTTCTAGGAGGTTCATGATGAAAGTCTGGCCAGCTGATACATTTCTTACTGTATATATTTCCAGTGATTTATCCTAACCAAATATCTGAAAGCTGAAGGTGTGACTTGCCTTAATTAAAAAAGATTTACATCTATGAACCAATCATTACTTTCCAGTGAAAGTTTATATTCTCATATAATGGTGTGCTGCAGTGATAGGATATGAGGACAGAATCCATCTAATCAGTATTTGAGAAAAGTTTTATTTAGCTAATATGGGCTAAATTCATTCTGTATTTCAAGCAAATCAACTTAATTCAGATCTCCCTAACTAATATGCAGTTTTAAACATAATTATTCTTTTTCCCCTACTTCTCAGAATTTTGCAATATGATTCTCAGCCTGCACTCCATCCCAAAACACAGACTAGGCAAAACATATGAACTGAACCAAAAAAAAAAGCTGTTTGCAAGTTGTCTAATCAATACAAAATTCTTCATCAGACATTCATGATGAAAAAGTAGACAAATAAACAATAAGATAATACTCATAGTAAGCATAATGAATAATATTCATCTTGTACTACTTGGTCACACTTGCAACTGGACTTATCTGAAATAGTTGTATCAGTTCATAACCAGATACGAGAATCATCATTTAAATATTGCTTAAAATCTTTCATATATATTATGTTCAGTTATAGCCCAGAGTTTGATCCTGCAACATTTATGAGCTGTGACTGAACATAAACAACTGCTGCAACTCAGGTGACCCCAAGCTTTGTCTTAGAGTAGTATAATTTAATATGTCCCTCTTTTCTTTTAGTATACTAGTTAGTTCATTATGTTTTATTCCATTATCTTTTTATTTCTTTCCCAATGTGGCTTTGATTTCTTGGTTTTGTGTGATTAATATTTTAGCAATAGGAAAACTAGAGTCAGGACTTTTGGAAACTAAGTTAGTCTAATAATTATCATAGTGATTTATAGATTTTAGGGATTTATAGATTTTAGTATCATAATTGTATCTGTCAATCGCTATTTAATTCCATTGACTTTAGTCTCCCTTTTACTTTAGTTACAGAATCTAAAACAATGCATCCTCTTCTAATTTTTCTTATACTTATCCACTTCTAATCTTGAGTGGATTTTACCACTAAGATTACATCTGTAATCTTAAAGGTTTTTCACAGGTAAACATACTTTGTGATTTTATCCTAGTAACCTTTATTTTGTTTATTTATTTATTTTGGTGCCTTCAAGTCAGTGTTGACTCCTAGTGACTGCCTGGACAAGTCCCTGCAGTTTTCTTGGCCATGTTTTTGGAAGTGGTTTGCCACTGCCTACTTCCTAGGGCTGAGAGAAAGTGACCAGCCCAAGATCACCCAGCTGGCTTTGTGCCTAAGGCAGGACTAGAAGTTGCTGTCTCCTGGTTTCTAAACCAGCTACACTAAATTGGCTCTTAGTAATCTTTATTACTAAATTATTAATATTTTTCTCACATTTTAAATCTTAGTTTTGAAATTGTAACTTTATTTGTGTCATGTTTGTCTTTGATCAAAATAAATAAATCACATTCAAAATATATGAATTTTGGGACCTTACAGCACTCCTTAAAGCTGATCGCTTCTTCCCATCCCACTTCTCAGTCATAGTTTGGGCTGAAAAAAAAAGGCCAATGAGTTCCTAACTGAGATGAAATAGGAATATCAGGGGGAAAAAAGCTTTGTCTGATATATACCTGTAAATAATCTTGGGAATTGTTTTCAGTTAAAAAAAAAAAAAAAAAAGCATATGTTGAGAATAATTCTCAAATTGTATAAACCCTTACTATTTTTCTGTGATTGTGTACTGCCATTTCTGATTCCTATTTAAACTGGCAAACAGATGAAATTCTAATATAGATTGGGCAACTAGACTTTCTAAATATGATTAATAATTGCTTTGATCATAGCTACCGTATTTTTCCGACTATAAGACGATACTTTTTTCTAAAATCCTTACCCTAAAAA